TGAGGGTCTAGGATATTTCTGGGAAAAGATATTATTTCGATTTTTCGGGAATTTGAAACATCTTGGATATCGGCTCCGTATTTCACGTAGATTTGGAACCTCTTACATTTCGGCTTCATATTTCAGTAGAACAAAAAAATCAGACTTACTGCGATTGTTCTATAATCGTCTTGTAGAGCCTTTTTGCTCTATCGTAAAAGCGCTTTTTTTAAGTGTACCCTGCTTCTATAGCACATGATAACCCCTTTTTTTTCAAACATAATACCTCTACAGTAATTATCTCTTTGTTTATGGTCTTGATTTATTCATATCTGAGAAACATAAATCTTTGCACTATTATTGAACACATCATAGGATGTAGGCTACCTTTTTTCATCAGAAAGATATGTTTCGCCTGTTTCACGTCACTACTGACGAGAGTGACTCACCACGTCCGTGTTCTTTTCAAAAGAACTTTTTTGCATACGACTACATCGCCATTATGTATTTCAGACGGTTGTGCAATATCGCGTAAGCATGACGCTGTTGGTGTAATCTGGATCTCGGGGCTAACTTGCCCTTCGCTAGAATTTTTTTCCTACTTTTTTTCGATCGTGCAGAATTTCCGCTTACTTTAGGGGAAAGACGTATGTAAGAGCGAGCTTTCCTTCCGCTATCCGGCTCCTTATGAAAAATGTTGCATTTTTCTATTTTTGTCCTAACGACCATCTACATATTCCAGTAGATCAAAGAGCATGTTTACAGCAATGTCTGCCTACTTAGCCTGGGAAGCCCATTTTCTTTGCTAACAACAAACAAAACATGTGTTCTCGGACACTGCTTCACCGTTACTAGACATCCATTCAGAATTTGTTACTCTTGTTCCGCTACAATTCCTCCCAAATATGTTCGCTTTCCCTTCTAAATGCAATTTTCATTAGAAAGACGCGAAATGACGCCATTTTTGCTGCTTTTGCTCTCGAAAACAAACTCACCAAAAAGTTTCAACCATCTTGTGTCTGAAAATTTCGATATCATTCATTAGTCTCAGTAATTTTTCACCCAACCTTAGGGAATTTGTGTATAAAAAACTGTATTTTTCAGCAACGTGGTTCTTCTCACCTTAGCCTTTGATGGTATTTGAGAGATGGAAAAAATGTAATTTTCTCTAAGGCAAGACAAAAGAGTTTCAATGTCTCATTTTGGAAAAGTAGAAAAATAATTCAGAAAAAAAGAAAAGGTTCTTTCAAGTGCAGGTTTTTTGAAGAAATCGCTCTCTTTTCTTCTTCATTTTTCGCTTTCCTGTTCTAGTCACTTGGGTGTAACTAGCTTCTAGTCTGCGTTCAAGGTTGCCCACGTGCTGCAGCTGCACCAGCTCCGTGTCAGCGCCGTGCCGGAATCCGCGTGCGCGCGCTCCCCGCATCGGTAGATTGCGGATCTAGCACGGCGCTGGCACGGGCACTTAGAATCAGGGCTTGGCACGAGGTGGCTAGTTTAAAATGGAAAGAAAACGAAGTCCTTCTTGACTTCTGCAAATTTTACGAAGTCCCTCTTGACCCTAGCCATAATCCTTAAAAAATCTCCAAAAAATGAAGCGTCGACCAAGAAAAACGTCGCAAATTTTGTGTCTTTTCGGCCACAAAAACCCCCTTTGCTTTTGGTCCCAAAAACGATATCCAGCTTGCTTGTAAGCCACCTGTGCCGAGTCCTGCGTAGAACAAAGGTGTTGATGGTATCCAATGCTATGACCTAAGCAAGCCTATAGAATCCCAACACTTATCATTTTTGATTTCCGACTGTAACTTGATTGAAAAGGGGAAATACTAGAATCTATGAGCTCCACTAGAAATTCTCAGGGTTTAGGGTTATGGCAAACATCAGTGTCATCCGGCGTGATCTTTGGTTGACGAATGAGCATTCTTTGCCAGTGAGGCTTTTTATTATGCACCGCTACGACTCTTCCTCTTGGTAGGCTGACGTTTTCACAAACTCGCTATCTATATCCATGATTGTATAGTATCTTTGAGAGCAGTAGATGCTTTGGTGGCATGAAGTGAAAAGAACGAAACGGACATGGAATTTCAATGGCGAACTTTTGAGTGGATGCAGAAAAAGATAGTCATATTTGCTACGCCTTTTACATTTTCCTAATAAGCAGTTTTCTACGCGATTAGTGGGCTTTTTTGCCCTTCCCAAGGCTTTATACCTCGTCATTACTTGACATCTTATGCAGATTAACACTTTTGACATGTAGTGAGAACATGCCGTTTTCATCCCTTTTTGAAAATTGCAAAGACTCTTTAGACCTTTTGGAAAACTTTGCATGCTGATGTCTGCTAAATTTATTTCTAATGAATTTCTGAAAATTCACAGTTTTTGGAAAAAGTTACGGACGAAGAACCCATCGTTATACTAGTTCGCTCTATATGTCTTGCAACAAACTTTTGAGAAATCGTATATTTTTCTGTTTTCAAAATAGACCTGATTGAAAGCAGCAAAATCTACGATTTCATAAAAAGTTAGTCTCCCACTCAAGTTAGATTCAAAAAGAGAAAGCGTTGCAATTTCTAGTAGTTTTCAAAGAAAAAAATTAGCGTTGGCCTATTACGATAACACAAGCTGCTAAAGAGGAACACTGCAATCTTAGAATTTTTGGAATTCTGTTGCTAAAAATACTAAAAGCTCTTATTTTTTATTTTTGTTTATGGTTTTGCGACTTGCCCTTGGATGTTACTATGAAGAGCCATGGTTCTCGACTTTTTCAGATCGACATCGATTTTGTCTCGTACGAAATCTATAATATGCCCGGTAATATAGAACACTTGTTATCGGTAGCCTACCCAGGATTTCCGTTCGGAGGGGAGGGGGGGGCGACGAAATTTTTTCCAGAAAAATTTGTCTTCTGTTTGCTTTTCAAAATTTCGCGGCCCTATAACTCTCAAAAGTTTTTTATGAGGCTAGATTGAATTTTTGAAAATTTTCAAAAATTATTTTAATTATCTAAAGTATAAACAAATCGCTTGCACATTTCTATAACTCATGTAAGTGACTTTCAAAAATTTCGCGACCCATTCTCGGGAGGGGGACATCCCCTCGGTACGCCCTTGCTTTTCATGTATGTTGAAAGTATGTAATACAGACTGAGACATTGCAAACCTTTTTTTAGACGAACTTGCCAAAATTTTTGGTGCAGGACTTATGGACCAACCTAATAATATGTGTGGTTCACTAAATACGTCTCAACATAAGAGAATCAACTCCTCAACTCCAGTTCGCTGGAAGATGTCACTTCCGCTCAAAAAATTTTGCTGTTGATTTCTTCAAGGATCTCAACTAAATTTTTAAATCCAAAGGTCCACAATAATTATTTTGGATAATGACGTAATTCTAACTGATGACGATATGTGACGTACGCGACGCATTTGCAACATGAGTCGTTTTATGCGTTCGCCATTCGCTTGCTAGCTGGTCTTTCATTTCTGAGTTGATTTTGTTTGAATTGGAAACAATTTTAATGTCACTCACATTTATTGCCATTGAATGTGGAGCCTGTAATTGGAAACTTCTTCTTGTCTTCATTTGAAATGTATCACGTGAATTACAGTTATTTTATCCAAGTTTGAAAACTAAGCCATCGCAGTTGTGTTCTTACCCTAACTCTATTTCTTACTTCATTCCGACTTCTCTCTCTATCTATCTTCGACAGACTTCAGATGCAGAAAGGACGAATTTTTTTTCACTTTTTCTAAATGTAAGAAGCATCGCGCAATTTTATATTACTTTATATTATTTTAACCTAATTAAACGCATCAAAAAATTATTAGAAATCAAAATTTGAGAATAAAAGTTTAAATTACAAATTCTAATAACAATTTATATAGAAAGATGAGTTATTCTGAAATTTTGCCATCCTTCTTTACTGAAGAGTTCCGGGGATGGCCTAGAAACAACACAAACTCCGTCTGAGGATAGGAACGAAACGGAGTTCTTAGGTTATAATTTTACAATTATGAACATTATCTATTACTATTAATATTATTATGCCTCGACGCAATGCACATCCCTTCGAATGACGGAATTTCTTGAACGTCCAAAAGGCAAGGCAATTGGAAATTTTTTGTGGTTGTGACCAACATGCGGGCAAATTTTTCTGATCATGCCGGCAATTTCAATAAAAAAATGACTGAACCGCTAGAAATCACGCGCATAGTTTTTGCACATTCAATGAAATTCGGCAAAGCTGAAGAAGTAAAACAGAAACAGAATTTACATGGGAGATTGGCAAGGTTTTAGTCTTTTCTAGTTCTACAGATGCGAACTTTCGAGCTCAGTTGAGTACATCAAAGGGATGCAAAGGTTGAAGGCCATGACAAACAAAACAATGAAAACAATGAATATTGCTTGAGCCCATGCCCAACATTGCCTTCTTAAAAAATATTTCAGGTTCCAGTTGTTGGAAAAGGCTTTAGCTTTTTCATCCGTTATATCGAAAACTTCGCAAGAAAAAATTCACAAATTTCCCAGTTGTTTGTGTAACTTCCGTATTCTATGCCTTTTGGAGCGCTTTATTAAAGCTTTACTTTTAGACGGGGAGTGTTGCAGAAACCTCTGGAAGTGTATAAACCACGAAGAAAGAAAGGAGAACAAGGAATGCTATGGTCTCAAAAATAGGGCTAAATATGAGAATTCAGCCGTTGAGGAGACCATTGCACTCGGCTAGCAGGAGTGAACTCTTCAACTCATTTTTAAAAAGTTTGAAATTTTTTCAATCATGCACTTTTTTCTTAGTTTATCGCGATATTTTTGCCCCCCATTGAAGACAGCATGGTATATCGCGAGAAACCCATGTCAGCATCTTCTCATTCTCTTCGATCTCTTGCTGGCAAAATGCCAGCGCTGTGCGCTCGCAAAACCTCCGGCGTAACGGTGTAACGCTCCACATGAACTTCCGGCTTACTGATTGAAACAGACTGTAGATGTCTTTGTAGACTTGCTATTGTTTTGAGGAGTAGAACATTCAAATGGCAGTTACTAAAGAGTTTTTGGCCTTTTGGCAAGGCTCCAAGCCAGCGGTTCAAATAACCAGCAGCTGCCCGCCGCCGCCGCCAGCTGCTCTATCCGCGCTTTTGCCAGTAGCTTCTGGACGAGTTTTCGCGGCTCTGGTCCTGGATTCAAACTTTGAATTTGCTTTTATTATTTCCGCCGTTCTTATCCGATTCTTGTGACAGCTAATGAGTTGTAAATGACGTTATCGGAAACAGTTGATTCTTAGATTATAAGTGATCGTAAAATTACGATTCAACTGTCCGTATCAAATTCAAGAACTGTTTGTTTTTTACGTCCGGCATGTAAAGGATTATTATCTTCCAAATACTTCCTGCTTCTCAAAATAGCCAATCTGCCTACTCGATATGAATAAAAAAATCACTTCCATCATTGTGCTGGAGTTTATATTCACAATTCAAGCTGATCTGCAGATATCATCGAAACTTTCATAAATTTCGCTGGTTTTGTAGTCTGATAGCTTGTTTGCAGAGTCTTTCATCCCATGCGGAAGTAAAATTCCACTTTCTTCTATCTGAAGCAGCAGAATCGTCTTCAAATAACAATCTCGATGCGAATGGACAAGATAGTAAGTCTAGATCTATCTCTTTTTGGTATCTTTTCGCTTTATTCAGTGCTTAATTGTCCTTTTTGACTTCTCTCGTCATTCTGATAGCATATGACTTTTTACAGAGGCTAGACTACCCTCCATAATGAAACGACAAGATCTTCAAGAGAAACGTCATCTTCTTCGCCCTGATGAGGACGTTTACGAGGAGAGTTTCGTGGTTAGTTTTGCGATTTTCAGCTGCTATTGTTGAATTTTCTACAATTGTTTTGATAACCCTTTACCGTTGCTCTTGAAGTCCGTTTTACTTACTGTAGTTGACTTTACCTAATCTTTGAGTCCTTACTCAGAATGTTTGTACGTTCTTTTGTTCCATTTGTTTATACAGTGATGGTAACAGCCAAAAAACCTGTTTTGGTTAGGTATGGCAACGTTTGCTGACTGCGATCTTTTTCGCAGCTGTTGAAATCTTACTTTTTTTTGGCAACCAACAATTTACGTTCTTTAACATTCCTTCATACCTTCTGATCGGTTACCTGCTGTTAGTGTAGGAAAACGCTGAAGTTCGGTGTCATAAATTCTATTATTCTCCAGCTTGATTCGCTCTCTCCTATGAAACCCGAACGACGACCATCTCACAACCAAGTCGAAGATGATTTTGGCGATCACGAGCACAAAAAACGAAGAAGACGAGGCAGACGCCGGTCTGGTGAGTATTTTTCTGATCTAATTGCGTTGAGTTTTCGTTGTCTCGCTTGATTTGACGAAAAAATGTCATCTTCATATCGCCTTGAAGCTGAATTTATTGGACCTTGAGAACTATCTGAGCTTCATCTTGCCAATTCGTTTTCATTTTTGGCAAGATTCTGTCCTTCTTGGCCTTTCATTACAAATGGCCTTTCTAATTTTTTTTTCATTGAAGCACATTCATGACATTAATCTTTTGTGGCCGGTCGCAGTCTTCTTCTCTGACATTGCCTTTCTTTCTTCGATGTAGACCATCCGTGATAGTTTCTTGTTTGAGCTCGCTGCCATCTTCAGTTAAGTCATTCTTTTTCTTGTCAGTATGTCATGCCTCTAAAATGAGGTTTTTTTTTATTGAACTCTATATGTAATTTCTGAATCCTTGTTCAGTAAGCTGAATGAAGGTTTTACTTCTAACAACTAGCTTATTTTTCCCTATTATACCTTGCAAGCTTTGTCTTGCCCTGCTAGTTAAGCTTCCTCACTGTTTATTTTTCATTCCCATCTTCTTGCTTTACATGAAATATGCAAAGGTGCTAACTAAGTTTTGAAAATTCAACTATAAATAGCAGAAGACTGAGGTATCAAACTCGACCTAGAAGAAGGAATGGTCATCTTCTAAAGGGTGATCACCTTCATAATCGCTCATAAAGTCCGCCGCCCTTTTGAAAAAGTAGCAGCCATTTAGAGTTAGCAGAGGCCTGACTTGTGGTGTAGCCATAATTTGGAATAGAGAAGAATATGTGTGCCAGATGCGAGGATCAGTCATGTAAGGTTCATTCTTAAAATCGTGGCGACGAGCTTGACTGCGGTCTTTGCGCACACAGGGGCATAGAACACCCATGCAAACAGGCATCAACTCAACACCCAGCTCAGTTACTTCCAGTGTCTGAGTACTAGCATACGTCAAACCGACCATTCAATAGAGATAGAAACCAAGAAGTGAAATTGTCGCGCGCGGTCGCGTCATTGTCACGATTATCGAATGCCTTATACCACCCAATCCGAGTTTTATGCAATCTAATGGCATGCCTACTTGGCACTGCAGCACGGTATTGTACTATTCAGCGCCATAGTGTCCTGAGAAAAGCAAGACAGCACTTTCGCAGCGGAAAAAATTACCCTTTCAAGGAAATGGTAAGTGCACTTTAGTAGACTTCGCGCTCAACGTAGTGTGCTGTGGTGGGAGATTTAGCGGTCAAATTTGGCCAAGTAACAGAATAGCAAAGAAGTAGCCACGCCAGTAATGCCGCTTCTTGCGCTCGAACTTGCCAGCATCATAAAGCGTAGATTTTCCGCTTGATATAGTGTGCTTGCGTGCCGAGAATTTGCGGTAAAATTTACGCGTGAATAAATAGCTTCGCCTAAGTTTCGGGTAATCTGCTCGCGCAAGTCACCGGCAATACGGGCGTAGCTATGTTCACGCAGAGATTTTACCGCAAAGTGTCGGCACCGCAAATATACTATATTGAAGGGGAAAATCTACAAGATTGTAGGCAACCATTGTGCACGCGCGATGGCTGCAAGATCTTGGTGCCCGCGAGCACACAGTTTATGCGAAATTTACCAAACTATGTTTACTTGAATCGAGCATCTGTAGTTTAGAGAATGAACTCTTTTTGACTGATTTAGAAAAGAAGCAACTGACAAGGGGAAACTTGTTTAATCGAAGTGGCTTTTCTTTTCTATTTAAACCATATTGAAGGCCATGAAACGCTGATTTTAATCCTGCCTTCCTTATCTGCAGAACCTTTATGGATGGGGAGTGACGAGCGTTTTTGGAGCCAAAAAATGAATGTACATTTTGGATGAGTCGCTAAAATCATACTAGCCCTCAAATTATGCAACTCAGTGTGATATATTAGGTTGAACCGAAAGTTTGTTCGCAACATTTTCAAAAAATCATAACTTCTTTCAGTCACAGTGGTTTTGCTCAGCTTAGACTCCTTCAGAAAGCGTAAAGCATGTAGTTTCCAAATGTACCCTAAGGACTTTCCAACATGCTCAGGTTGCAGAGATAAAAATGAATGAACGAGATCACACGAAATTCGGAATTTTTGAGCAAGCCTTCCAAAAATTTAGAATCTAGAAACTGTGCGATAAAATCCAAAACAGCTATCATCCTAAGTTTTCTTATATTTGATTACTAGCTGAGTCAAGTTTGTGCTGATCGAGCTCTTCTTTCAAAAGTTATGATTTTTTCAAAAAAAAAAAATGCCGAAAAATCAATTGCTTAAGAGATTGATAACTTGGCATTATTTTCCAAGAATCATAACTTTTTCAAGAAGAGCTCGATCAGCGCGAATTTTGCTTAGGAAATTGGTCCTGTTTTGGATTTTGTGGCACATTTTTGGAATTTTCAGCGGGCTTGCCTCAAAATTCCGAAACTGAAGTGAATTCCTTTTCCCAATTTTAACTCTGCAATTAAAACTTAGTCAAAGGCAAGCGAGATGTTCTTAGAAAGTACACGCTTTGCTCTTCCCAATACTGTTTTGTGCAGGATTATTGTAAGACAAAGAAGTTACGATTTTTTGAAAATGGTGAACGAACTTTTGATTCAACCTAATATTTGTTTTTATTCTAGAATATTAATAAAGTGCTCTGATGATCATCACCGCTCCACTGAAGAGCTAGAAAAAGTATTATGGCTATTGTCCTACTTGCACATTCATTTTTTTGCTTCAATAAGCGCTCATGACTCCTCGTCCATAAAGGTTCTGCAGATAAGCAAGGCAGATATGGAATCAGCATTTTGTGCCCTTCAGTATGGTATACATTCCATCTGAAAAGGCCAGTTCGACTACATGCATTTCTTATGAGCCATCGGGTTTCTGTGAAGATTACTAACAAGATCATCACATCTTCTTGTCGTTCTGTTTGGTGAACACCGCTTCAAACGGATCCTCTTTTTGCGCTTCCCATGTGATTTTGATTTGAATCTGACCTGTCATCTTTAAGTTTTTGTTTTTTCCTTTAATCTCAGCCAGGGAACAGAGATTATTTGGGTTTGATAATCTTTCTATTGTCACGCCTTGCTGTGTGCTGTTGTGTGATGTCCATGAAAAATCTAAATTCACACTATCGCTTTTCATTCTACCCGGTCATAGTATTATGAACTCTGTTCTCGCTCAAGCAATGTCGACGAAAAATACTTGTGATTCTACAATGCCAAGCAACATGCTTGGGTATTTGACATAGTTCCCAGGTGTTTTGAAATCTTTAACTATGTCAACAATCCAGACAACTGTTTTGATACCACTTTCTTACTGCTGGCTGGCCAGATGGTGGATCATCACGATTTTAAAGGTTTCTTTTTTCTTTGAAAAATTATCCATATATATATATTTTTTTCAATGAATTCCTGCTTTGCGGTTATGTTCGATGTCAGTGCTGATGTTTGCGAATTTTTATCAATGCGCAATGGTTCAAAAGTTTCTGAGACCATTATTTTTTTTACTTATCTCTCTCTCAAAAAAAAATGTTGTGCAGTTTCAACCTTTATTTCAAAGCTCATGTATCCCTATCTGACACTTTCTTGCCTTTGTCTTTTTTGAAAGCGAAATATAGCTTTGGGATGATTGATATCATAGAGTTTTACTCAGCTTGTAGAATGTTGACGGGATACTCTACATTTTGGCAAACTTGTTCGGCAAGTAGTTTAATTTTTAAGGTTTCAAATTTATGTCAGATAGAGGTCGTCAAAAATCCAAATATGCGAGAGCAAGCAATACGCTACATAATACTTCTAGGGTTTCTCAAAACATACTATGTTTTTGATAGTTATCGATTCTCGAGTTGACTATGAGCTTAGAAAAAGCTCGTTTCGCATCAATTCACCAACAATTTGATTCTCTGACAGATTGCAAAAGCGAAGTCTCTGAAGAGCATCCGATATAAGATGTTCTCGTTGTGCTGTTTTACTTATCTTCACTTCTTTATTTTTTATCAATTGGCACAAGCTATGAAACGGGTACTGCTTGGGTGGAGTGAAAAGTCCTACCTTCAGATGGTTTCGAGTTCATCAGGATCTTGCACAGTTTTTTCCTGATATGACCTGGCAATCTGTCAGAAAGATTTTATGCTTTCGTGCATTACATCGGCTCCTACGATTTTTTAACTTCCTTTTTCAAACATTGAAACGCAAAGGCTTTTCATAGATGTTTTTGGCCGCACGCTTTCTTTGAACCCCTTTTGGGAAGGGTATCTGGAATTATGCAATGAGCAACTATAGTATGGAGACTTTCGATTATCTGTTACACAACAGATTTTTTTTTTTTGAAAAGACTGGATTGAAATAGTATAAACTCCTTTAAGACAGATTGATCTTTTACTGAAACTTCCTCTTCCTTGTTCACAAAAATGCTGTCGTGAGCGATCAACTGCGTCAGCATTTTTTCACAACATCGATGTTCTTTCTAAACCTGTGTGAACTAATGATGGACGTCTTTCTCAATGACTCTGTTTTTTGAACGCGTTGTGGGTGATATGAAAAATTTCAACGTGAATCTCACTTCTTTTCATGCCAAATTTTCAAGTTTTATGACTTTGTGCTTTCAGCAGTTGTGATTGCAAAAGCTTGCTGTATTAATGTATAGCAACATCTGGTCGAATATATCTATCAGTGGTTCTACAAGTCTAATGAATTAGGACGTTGCGAAAAGCAAAATTTTTATGAGTTTCAAATCTCTATTCTCAGGAAGAGTTGCTCAAGGCTACATACGAGTTTTTTGGCATCAGAAAATCATCCTAGGGGTCTCCTCCCTTGAAAACTCAGTATCTTTATAGATACACATAATTAATGTGAAAACTATTCGGAGAATTTGGAAAACGTGGTTATACAGAGATTTCATATTATGCAATACCAGAGAATAATTTACATATGTTTTTGTCGTTCAGATGTGATTGAAATCTTCCGTAATGTAGAAACGAGACGTAAGTTTCTCGCGCTGAAATGTTGTATAAAGGTAATCTACCCTTTGATTAACTGGATTGGCGGCTGGAAGGGGCTTTGTAACCTAGTCAAGGCTAGAGAATAATCGGAGAGCACGAGCACGAGAGATACGCCGACTGCGTCGCGGACGCGAGCGGACTTAATTAGGTCATAAAGCCTGCTCTCCAGCCACCAATCCAGTTAAACAAAGGTTAGAGAGTGGGATAGCCGGTATGACGTGAAATTTTTTGCATTCAGCCTCAGTCAGTAATTCAGTGACTGAAAATGTTACGTATCACTCCAAGCTGAAATTACAACAGCGTTTATAGCTTGCCTAGGTGCCCGATATCTGCACATCTTCATTGTTCAGAACCTGCTCTTGTGAAAATACCAGTAATTCGCGATTAAGAATATATGTACTTTTTCATGCTCAGATCATTGTGAATACAAGGTTTGTCTCTATGTATTTTAATTCTTTCTAAACCTGGAAAACAGGCCCAAAGGGAAATGTAGCATACGTAGAATTCTTTTGGATAGGTTTAGCTATATGAATTTCTGATCGGTGTTTTTTTTTGCGATGTTTGATGTTCGCTGTAAATTTTTGAAAATTAGCGTTTTCTAGTATGCAAAAATATATTTGAACCCAATATCCTCTCATACCGCACACTTTGTATTCTGGCCCATTCTTTGGAGGCGGAAGGGTGGAACTTTGATCATGCTCTCTCAATTGAGTTCTCTACCCCCTCCCTCTTTCAAGGAGTGGAACTTTCTGTCACTAAATTTCAACTTTAGATTGTTACACAGCTCTGCACTGCAACCTAAGTAAAACATTTTAGCACCTTTTCAAAAATGTTTTACTTAGGCTGCAATGGCAATGCATTACAAAAAGGTGTATATTTTAGTCGACTTTCTGCAAATTTTCGTATTTGCTCTCACACACACACACACATTATTAGTGTTCATGTTGATACACCCCTCACCTGCACTTATGTCCGGTACGATTACGAGAGTGAGAGGCTTTGAGCGTTGGAGATGATGAGGTGTTTGTGGAGCGGATACGGGGCTCTGCAGTAAGGCCAGTGACGGGTCTGTTGTCTTCATTCTATTTTTTTCCCCGACTGGCCAGGTATCAGGTGTATCACACACGCTCCTATGGTGGCTACGCAAGATTATTTCAGAAGGATAGGTGAGGCACATATGATACTAATTTAGCGAGAAATTTCGCGAAACACTGCAGATTAGCTGCTGAAAAAGCGGAAATTCCACCCTCGTCCGGATAACAGGGAACCACTTTGAATTCAGTGCTGATCCATATTCCTCGCAATTTGCTCTCAGCGTTTATCTCTTATCTAATTTTGAGATGCAAATCTCTGTATCAGTTCATAACAATGGTCCATCGTTCTTTTTCTTTCCTGGCTATCACTGTCAATGTTTTGTTGTTTGCTATGCGCTTGAAGCATGTGGCCGCTCTTATTTGAGTTTATATCATGCTCTCCCGCTTGGTCATTTAGTCCTGTTTGAACTGATAGCTGAACAGTTCGCAAATAGCAAGGATCACCTTTGTTAGTCATGAAGGAATGCCAAGTATTTGCAAAATCAGTTTTTTGTGTAATCTTCAACTTGCTATTTTTGTCAGTTTTTGAATCTTTTCCTGGATGAACAATGCTTTATCATATCTACTACTCTGCCTCCTTTGCCTTATACTAGGGGAGATTTTTGATCAAATTTTGTATGCAAACTACTTCTAATGTTGTTTTTTTTTGGTTTTCATGGGACTTCCATTTACTTTCCTTGCTAGATGAATGACTCTTCTTGACATAAGCGAAGTATAATGATTCTGCATAGTCAAGAAAAGTACAGTAATACGAGTGCCGCTTGAAATGACTCGTTGAAGTTTCCATATCCACTTAAGGAATTCATGTACCCAAATTTGCCTCGGTACTGCTTTCAAAAGAAATTGATCAAACGCCAGAGATTATTTTGTGACCATAAAAAGACATGAGGAACGAAGTTTTTACACCTTGATTTTTCCGTGTTCTTGTCTCTAAAATGTAGTTATACATGTTCTATAAGATTTGCTTTTTCATAAAGTGCCTTCGTTTCACTTTGCAAGAACTAATTTTGGCCTTATACATCATACAGCCAGGTATTATAGTATGTCATTCATGCTGCATATAATGTTGCCTCTTTTTTTCTTTAATGGGTAATAGCTTGAAGTAGCGCTTATCTCATAGTTTCAAATATGAAGGGCAAATATAACATTCCTTACGCTTGCTACGCAAAAGGTTAAGCAACTTAACCTTTGTTTGCAAGCAAACACTACTTCAAGCGTTTAACTTTTGAGTGCCATTCTTATCACTTTGCTTCTTGTTGTGGCCTTTTTTCTTCCTTACAATGAGTCCATCACATCGAAAAGGTAAGCTCCGCGCTTTTTGATACATTCAAATTCCCGGTGGACATCATATTTTCTTAGCTTATTTAGAGGCGACTGTTTTACAATAATACTTGCTCATATGATCTACATAAGTTAAATTTTTTCTTTCTGTTTTCCATGTTTTACAGCTTCCTTCGCTAGCATCCATCTTGCATAGCAATACAAAGACTTTTTTTGGAAGCCGGGGTTGTCAAGAATTCATTCTCTTCCGGTTTCCTGCTTTGTTATGCTTTGCACTCATGCTGGAATTCTATGGATGCAAAGGCCTCTCATGCAAGGCCTCAAGTTCTTTGGCAACCACGGCGTGATTTCTTGCATTGCTTATGGAATATTTGGCTTCCAGTCTTTATTAATATTTATATGAAATACATCGTAGAATCGGTGTTCTGCTTATAATCAAAATCATAAACGAAAGGACTGTACTCAGTGAAACGATTAGGAGAAAAAACGCGAGTTGATTCAATTCAGATCTAACTTTCTTGTGTCCCAATGTCCCAATGCAATGTTTTACTTGATTCTTCGTTGAATATCACACGCTGAAAATTTGCTATGTAACTTAAAACTCCTGGGAAAATCTGTATTCGAGAATAGGTGTCTCTATTGCCTAAGGAAATTATATCGAGTTTGTTGAGTCATGCCTTTTTTAAATCGTGATTTGCTTGCCGAACACTTTGCCATCTATTGTGTCCGTAGACAATCCTTTAAGCATCTGCGCAAGCTAGCTTGTTTTTTGATTTTGAGTATTTTCAATCATTTCATCTTTCCATCCCCTCTGACGTCTATGTGGAAGTAAATCTGTAGGCTTTACTCTTTCTAATCCCGTTTTATTTGAACCCATTCACTCCTACAGTGCTTTTGTGCAAGGTAGAGACACTTAGAGACACACACACACACTTAGACTTTACCTACAGCACTGGCTTTTATATCTAGGAAAAAAAGCTACAGTACATGCGCTTCCAAAATAAGTCTAAAGAAGTGCTCCAAAGCCTAGAACGGTAACAGACATTCGTATAGAATCTGTTATTCGCCTGAATAAGCGGACAACTGCTCATTTGTAGAGCATTGTTTACTATCTTCTGTAATTTGAGAGGATTTCGTAAAGCTAGTGACGATCTCGGAGTTTACTGTAAGTGAGCAGCTCAGCTGAAAAGCTCGCGTTAGGCTTGTTGAAGGCAAAAGTAAGGCAAAATCGATGATGAAGCGCTGCAAGGGAAATTCTCCGAAGCGGAAATTTTCTTTGATTCGTTGAGGAAATTCAAAGAGGCTTTGGCAGGTTGGCGCTCATGCTGATGTCGTAACTCTTTGTATGGTTAGATGAATGCATATAATCTTTTGGTTTCTCTCCTAATCTTTTCGTTGAGAGATCCTTGCGCAGACATTTCCACCGCAGACTTTCCATGTTTATACAGTTCTGACTATGGCCTTTTTTCACACCTCAATCAGCACTTTCTTCTTTCAAAATTAAACTGTCACGAGGAATGGATAAATTTCTCATTTCAGGAAGTTTTACTGGAGGTGTTTGGCCAAGAAAAGGTGGACGATTACTGTTTGGTTACGCTATACCACCACCAAATGTACATTCCACCGATTGGAGGGATATGTTGTCGATCACAGAATCTCGGGATACCGCTCGAGAAAACGGAAGTACGGTAAGCAATCAATTCTCCTTGGGACCCTTACATGTACAGGTTTTCTAGCGGGTATGTATAAGTCGTTGCAAAAATCGAAGTGGTTGTTGTTCCATAAAGGGGTTTAGCGATATTTTGACCAGTAGTAAGTTAAATTTTTGAGAGACTTAACCTATATGATAAGAATAAATCTGTGTAGTCGTTACCTCCTCAGTTTTCCGTTCCATATTGGGGGCGGTGGGTTATAAACACTTCTTTGCCGTTAACATAACCGTTACGACTTATTTTTCAGAACTTCTCACCTAGCCTGTTTACCCAATTTTACAGCGAATTTCACTGTTTGCCCCGGTACGGTCGGTACTCTTTGTTGATTGCGGTAGATAATCCTTCGGATATTTTGTCAACGAGTACCATCTGTCTGTGCGCGCGATTTTATTGAGTCAGATTGGACACGATTATTTTGCGCTTTAGAATCATTAGTTTTGTTGATCATCATGAAGTGATCATGAACTGTTTGGAGACCTGTGTAGAATTTTTTTTGATGTGAAGGATTTTGTTTGCAATAAGAACGCACAATAAGTGAGAAATAAGCAAGTTTTTCGAAGAAAAAAAAATCTGTCGGGGTCAGCCATTGTGCCGCTTGCGACTTTGTGAGAGACAGAACAAGATAACTATCTATAGTATTTCCAACATCGCTGAAGATTTTCCTAACGCCTGCAATGCTGTACAAACATAACGTAAGCATATCGACAGTTTTTGCACATATTTACTGTTATTACTGAATTGCTGTAAAGATTTTAGCGCGGTTACTGTATGGTATTGATATCCTTGCTGTTTCTGACCCGTAGGCTGAATCATATGTTTGTTGCCTGCTATGAAAGTAAATATGTATACTCGTCTTTGTTGATAAGAGAATTGCATTCGAAAACAGCAATTTTGCCGTAGCCAAGTGGATACTTTATAATTATATTACTTGCGAAGTCCTTCCCAAAATTCCTTTGTTTGAAGGACTTCGAGAATTTTGGGTTGACAAGAAAGTTCCCGCCTTCATGTTTGATTTTTTTAAACTTTTCGCTGTTTTAACAAATGCACTTGATAATTTTGTGAAGAAAGAGGAGGCCATGTATCTCGCAAAAACATTTTTGTAGCTTTCTAATCAACACACGCTTAGGAGACAAAATTGGAAGAAGAAGTGGGTTTTGGTCATTCTTAATTAGGCCGTTGAAATCCAAAGCTTTTATTCCTACCAATCCAGATGATTTTGTGCTGATTTTATGTTTGTATGTCGTAGTTTTTGAAAAATTGTTGAGATAATTTATCTCGTTTTTCAATCGTAGACTTGAATTTCATAATTTTTTGGAAACATCCCATCAGCACAAATCCGATTTCGTATCATTTTATCACGTTTCATATGTTTGTCGGCCTAACTAAAAATTACCGAAGCTCGAGTGATCTTCACCTTCCATCTCTATCTCCAGTTTGATAGAGTGATTTTGAGGCGCTTTAGCATAGTACATGGTTCTCTCCTTTTCACAAATTGCTTTGAAGCGAATTCGTTAAAATGCCATATACGTTGTGGAATTTGCAGATTTTTGTTTCAACCAAATATGAGTCTGGGAAAGAGGTAGGCTAGTTACCAACACCCACTTCTGAAAAATTAAATCTATGTGTTCGCGACCCTTGCACTTACCGGTATTCCCCATTCAACACTCATTACCCTCATCGTTTCCATTGCGCGCGGTGCTTATCGCCAGACAAAATCGCTTGTCGCCGTGTTGTTGTTATTTTAAACTTCGTCCATAACTCGCACATAATCAAGTTTAGAAAAACTGGTAGTTTCTAGCGTGGAGGTGAAACGACTCTTTACCTTCTTATCTTGAAATATAGTAAAATCCATAATTTTCACTGGTCTCAGTCAGATTTTACTTCTGTCACACTTGGTACCATCACTGGAACCTGAATGATTGTTTACTGCTCTTTACTGTTTTAAGTTGAATCTGCGGAAACTCAGCGAGCCGCACGCGGAGACCGAACCTCCTCTACCGCCGTTGTTCAGTCAGATGCGATTTTCCGAATCGGATTTGGTAAGTGTTGTGCTCTTCGTTCAAAAAACTTGAAACTTGAAAAATTCCTATACAAATATAGGTTTGTCTATTTTTCTGCGCATTGGGTAAAGTATGCATGTACGGCGTAAGACTTTGTACGGGGTGTGTGGAGATTTTTTCGGTCTTAGGTATTTCGGATTCAGATATCAACGGCTAATCACCTTTTTGGCGTTTCTCATTTTGGGCCATTTGGACCATATCTTTCGTACATGTAGTTTCTCAGAGGATTTACGAACCTTCTACTAGAAATTTGTCTATGTGTTATTGAAGATGATGATTAGTATAATGACTTTTCGACTGTGGCTTATGTAGGGTTACGGTAATCTTGCAGGAGTTGAATCTCACGGATTTTTGAAAAAATCGTAATTTGTTTTTTACGAGTTTCGCGTCTCAAATAGTGTGTTGGGCTTTATCAACTCTTTTTTCAATTCTTTCGATGCCGAAATTTGAACCCTGTAGAGGTTTGGCATGTAATGGTCCGTTTTTTTTTCAGTCGCTGAATCGTACTCACTGGATCACCGCTACCTTCACACGAAGAGAGTGTGCAAAGTTTGTACCCACCAACAAGTATCCGGAAAAGTAAGCTCTACCGAATTTGCAGTCCTTCTTCTTTCTGACTTTTTTAACGCCTTTTCGAACATCTTCTGCATTTTGCTTGCCTGATTCACAAAGATTTTTGTTGTCCGGTGACTAATGGATTTGTCTCGATATATGAAAAAATAATCATTCTTGCAAATCATCTTCATTCAATTATTAGAGAAATTGTATCGGATTTAAATTAAACTTTTTTTAGAGAAAGTTCTGATAGTTTCATTCTCGCTACAACAGACAATAAATATGGGATTCCCTGTTTTTGTGCTGTAGCCCATAATTTTTTTTCTTATTGAAGCCCGTCACGCTTTGAAAGTGCTTTCAATCCATTTTTTCTGTTGTTTCAAGATAGCAGAACGTGTAGATGCTATCTGCAAGTGCTGATGTGCTTTTCCAAAGATCTTATCCTACAAAGTTCGCTTTTCTTCTAGAAAAGTGATCTTTGATGGTCTTATCTCCTGATCTTCATCTGTCTACAATCGACCATTTGCAAAAAGTTGCTCTAAATCTACGATGTGCTAGAGTAAAGGCTGAAAATTTGCTGGGTACTAGGGGGACTGAATTTATTGTTGGTTGTTATCGTAGTTTTGTAAAATTTTCTTTGATCACGACTTCAGTATCATTCCAAAATGCTGTATAGTTGGGTGTTGAATGTAACGGACAGTGTTGTGTTGTTTCAAAATTTCGATTTCCTTCGTTTTTTTTTTGAAAAAAGACATTTATTTCTTACACGACTTACATATTCAAGTTTATTTTGCTCACAATTTCATTAGTCCACATGTTGCTCACCACACTCCTTACCGTATACCAATTGCCGTTATTTAGATGTGGATGTGGTCGTCTCCAATCTGCGCACATCGATATTCCATCGCTAACCAGCTCATTTCTCAATCAACATTTGAACGATGCTCTTAGCAGGAGGAAGGACGCTGGCAGTGATCAAAATGGGGCCGATGAGCATTCGGAAGCACCGAGGCGACGAGTAAGAACAACTGAAATCTACGAAATATTGTTTGGTAAAGAAGTTCTGGGACATGCGCTTTCGCATTGTGTTTGTCAACAGGGGTAAAGGTAGGGTAGAAAGGGGTTTGATATTCAACAACGAAAGGAAATATTTGTAAAGCACATTCATTAGGTTTCTCAGATTTGCAAAGATTATGGTCTCAGCTGAATGCATGCTGAGACAAAGTAAAAAAAAAAGTTATGAATGAATGAATGAATCCCTCCCCTCATTGTTGACCTACGCCCCCCCCCCCATAGGCAAGTAATGCCTATGCAAGAGTACAAGTTTATTTTATTTCAATGCTCTAGTTTCTGTCTGAGAATCACCGTTTTAGTAGGGGGAAGTTTCCTATCAATGAAACTGACCATGTCAAGTTCTACCAATTGCTTCAATTTCATTACGTCAAATAGGTTTCAATAGTGATAAGTTCAGAGGAACCAAGCAATTTTGTTATTTTTGTCATCATAGGGCCGCCGATCTGGCAAACTTGGAGAGCGATGGAGCCTGAAAAAGCATACAATCTGCTTACCAACCAATGCCTTCGGAACGATCGAATTCCAAGGTAATGCTGTTAAGAAACATGCGCTAGTAGCCCTCTGAAAATTCAAGCTGTTTTGATGATTATCATATCGAATAATGAAAGAGGACTTTTGTTGATTTGGATTCATATATCATGTGACATACTGCCGAGCTTGACGTCTTTCAAGGTGGTCCTCATCCACACAAGGCGCAATACGTTCGATTAGGATTCGATACAGATCCAGCCCTCATCATGTCGATGTTTGAGGAGGTATCTTCCAAAAACATCTGTATTTTGATTTGCATTAGCTCAATATTTTAGGTCTGGCAAATTGCTCCACCAAAGCTAATCATCACTGTACATGGAGGAACAAATAATTTCGAGTAGGTCTCAACTTATAGCTAGTGCTCGTCTCTAGATTACTGTAGTTCTATTTAGCCTCCAACCAAAATTGGCGCGAGTGTTTCGCAAAGGTCTGTTGAAGGCAGCAATGACAACTGGTGCTTGGATTATCACCAGCGGAGTGGACACCGGTGTTGTGCGACATGTGGCTGCAGCTTTTGAAGGTTTGGTGTACTGTAATTAGGGTACGGTTTCCGTAGTTGGGGTGAATAAACGTTGGGGTCGCTGTAGCTAGACTGTGATTTTTGAAGCGCTAATTTTTATTCAAAGCTGCTAAGTGAAAGCTTTTACAGGTGCAAGCTCCAGTTCTCGCAACAAAGTGGTGTGTATAGGTATCTCGCCTTGGGGCTTGTTGAAAAAGCGAGATGAACTGATCGGAGAGGTAAAAGACTTTTCAAGATTTTCTTCAAAGGCACCATCCACCCAAAATGGAGGTGCGAGATTATGATGGCATACTAGTGTGGGCCCTCATACTAGACAAACCTCCAAGCTTCGCCGCAAAAGACTGCTTCTGAAGCGAGAAATCCGCTCCGGAAGTAACAAGTGGGCGGGGCGCCCCCGGCGGTCCACCCAACTCGAATTCAATGTTTTTGTCGCCTTCAGGCCTCCTGATTCCGAATATGGAGTTGAAAATCCGCGAAACCCCCAAAAATCCCTGTTTCGAGGACCCTCTGCAACAAGTGCAGGCGAGATAAAGCATGCAAGTGGGCGGGCGACCGGGGGCGCCCCGCCCACTTTTGTTACTTCCGGAGCGGATAGTCTTTTGCGGCGAAGCTTGGGGGTTCGCCCAGTGTGGGAGCCCACACTAGTATGCCATCATAATCTCGCCAACCTCCATTTTGGGTGGACGGTGCCTTTAAGCTATTTTTGGCAGTGAGAAAGTGAAATCATCCATCTTCCGGTAATCGCAAAGCAATTCTTTCAGGATATTTGTGTTCCATACTACCCATTCTCTAGCAAAACTCGTTTCACTGCCTTGAATAATCGACATTCATACTTTCTTCTCGTAGACAATGGCAGTGTTGGAAGGTGAGTTTGACTCTATGAGAAGAGAGCGAGACGTAGATATCGTGTAAACTGTTGGGGAGGAGGGGCGAATATTCTCTTCAAATCAAGGTTTAGCGTTAGCCGCATTGTCCATAAGATTTTTTGGTACCATATCGTTCTAATTGTTTGAATCTGAACCTACCGTAAGAGCTGGATGCGTTGCGTGAGCCAGAGACCCGAGAGATTGCGAAGTGAAAAAATTTTTTGGAAATTTTGACGAAGAAATAGCTACAAACTCGCACAATTTTTTGAAATATTCAAAAATCTCTTCCTGTTGCATATTCTCCTCTCTGTTGCCAGTTAAGCAAATCTTTGTCTTAAAAAATTCTTTGTTTTTTCAAGCTTGGCGAATTTTAGGTATGGAGCCGAAGTTATTCTTCGGAAGCGTCTTGAGACCTATATCGCCCAAAAGCAGAAAATTTCTGGAGGCTCACGGAGTGTACCTGTGGTCTGTGTAATACTAGAAGGAGGTAGCTGCACTATCAGATCAGTGCTGGATTACGTTACAAAGTAAGTTACCAACTTCTGATCCCTCGAACTTAGCCCCATAAATTACTTTCCAGTGTACCACGAGTGCCTGTTGTTGTTTGTGACGGAAGTGGACGAGCGGCAGATCTGCTTGCGTTCGCACATCAAACTGTCAGAGAAGATGGGTTAGTGCAATTGTGATCTGTCTGGCGAATTTGGCGTCTAGAGCTGATGATGTAATTTCAGTTCCTTGCCAGATGGTGTACGACCACAGCTAGCTGAGCTAGTTCGACGAGTTTTCGACTGTGGAGGGGCAAATGCTGATAAGCTTGTCACTGAACTTATAATGTGTACACAACAGAAGCATTTGGTTTGTTATTTATGCTACTGATTGCTATTTTTGAATTCTTTTGACTTCGCTTACTGTTGTTTTTGCTGATGCAAGGACATTTTCTTTTTATAGATGACAGTATTCCGGCTAGGCGAGAAAGGAGGCCAAGACGTGGACCACGCCATCCTCAGTGCTCTTCTGAAGGTCTGCATTTTCTTCATAGGCGTCGTCCGCCCAAATCTGAGTTTTTGAAATTCTGATACAGTGCAACAGCGAGACTCCTTATAAAGCAACAGCCTAATCCCAATACAATAGGTGTAATTTGAAGCGATAGAAAAAGCTCCAGAGGCTAGATGCTGGAAGGGTCGCCATGCCCATTGACGTGGGTGGTGTTGAATTCGGAAATTCTTGAACTATGTATCTCACAAAGATGGATTATTGACATTTTTCGATACTTATCCTTATAATTAGGCCACCAAGTTGATGGGCGTGGCGACCCCAGCAGCATTGACCTTCTGGAGCAATTCCTCGCTTTGAAATACCCTTTTGCAGCGGGATTTGGGCAGTTGCTTGATTGGGATCTCTGGTACTGCACTGCATCAAAATCTCTCCATTCTCCGATTTTGATTGGACGGTGCCCCTAACATTACTCTGATGCTTTAGAGCAAAAACAATGTTTTAGGGACAGAACCTATCTCCTGCAGATCAGCTAGCGCTTGCTCTAGCCTGGAGTCGTGTTGACATTGCTAGATCTGATATCTTCACCTCGAACCAGGTTCGTAAATATTGGAAATTCTGACCGCGCAATCAAATAAACATCATTTTTCTTAGGACTGGCCACAATCAGCACTTCATAGCGCAATGATGGAGGCGCTGATCAATGATCGAGTGGAGTTTGTGCGATTATTGCTTGAAAATGGTGTCAATATGCAACGTTTTTTGACTATTGGACGGTTGGAAGAGCTTTACAATACGGTAAGAAAATGCCATCTTATACAGCGCATTCATGAACCCTCTATGGAGGAAGCTTGAGGAGCGATCAAAAGTGAATACTATAAAAGAGTCACTGATTAAAATCTAGGCTTTTTGATTTTATAACCTTTTGCGGTAGATGAAGTTGAAGTTGTCTACGAGTTTTTTTGTCATTATTTATGCTAACTTTAAGATTCATGTGTATAGAGCGGAGGCAGTCGCAGCGACTTCTTAAAAGGGGGAGGGGAGGGATAGATTTTTGTAAGTGGTGTTGCGAGCTATGTCATCAAGAAATTTATACGGTCAAAGCTAATTTTTTGCTGAAAGATTTTTTGCTTCTTCGCTCAAAACTTTCGCTACCACCCCCTCGCTGCCCACCTTTATTAGGTGTATTTCTCGCTAGAAAGTGGAATGTGGAATGTGGAAAATGTTGTAAAGGTACTAGGCAGCTTCCTCCTTGTCAAATCTTTTTTAAACGACTACTTACCGAGATTTGGTCGTCATGCTTATTCTATTATTTAGGATCAAGGACCACCAAATACACTCTACTATATAGTTAGAGATGTGGTGAAAGTGCGACCAGGCTATCGATACAAGTGAGTCGTAACGATGTGGAAAGTTCCATTTGACATGATTACCGGTTTTTTATAGGTTGCCGCATATTGGTTTGGTCATGGAAAAGCTGATGGGTAATGCGTACAAATCCTCGTATACCACTGCAGAATTTCGATCGAAATACAGTGCTTTTATGAAGAAGTACAAGGTAAAGTTTCACCAAATCCATGGTAGAAAGTGGTGGAGATTCAAAATGACTTATGGATTTGTTCGCGACTTGGGAAGTTTGATTCGCTCCGCCCACTACCGTGCTTTAGGGGACCAATCAGCGTCCTCGAGCATTGTAGAAATTACGGTCTGGGCCGGAGTCTGAAATGGACTTTTTCGGCCCTTAATGATTCGTACTAGCTACATTTGGGCACTGGTAGCCGCGCAATATTTTTTACATAAAAAACCCGAAACTCAGTTTGTCTAAACTTTGCCTCCAAAACTAAGAATGCTTTTTTCAGGCTAAATCCTTTGCGGCAGCGAAAGGAAGTTCTGTGCCGGTCATTAGTAGTGGCGGACGTTCTCGCGGAGGTTCCGCAGCGCTGTCGCGGCAGTCGACGGAGCCTAGCGGATTTCTCAGCGGATACACAGCTCCTCCGCCGGCGGAACCCATAGCGGAAGGAGTGGCGGCAGCGGCAGCCAGCGGAAGTCGGGCTCTATCGAATCACATTCTATGGAGAACGGCTTTCAGGAGAGATGTGAGTAATTTTGCGAGCAAGGAAAAAAGATTCTATCCGGTGTAGAATTATGCGCAACAATAACTGAAACCAGATTTGCTGTTTTAAAACTTTAATCTCCACATAACGAGAACTGTTTACCTAGTTGACACATATAATGATCATTTTTATAGAATCCCATGATTATGAGAACGACGATTGGTGATTCACGCGAGTGTTGTAGTGAATTTGATGATGGAGGTGGGATATTTTTTTGCCCCACATAGTGGTTTCGAAATATGATTTGCTGAACTCAAAATGAGATTCTTGTAGAACTTTCCAACACGGGAGGATCAGACAGCGGTCTAAAAGAGTACGAGTTTCGCTATCCGTTCAGTGAGCTTTTGATATGGGCCGTGCTGACCAAAAGGCAAGAAATGGCCATGTGCTTATGGCACCATGGCGAAGAGGCTCTAGCAAAGGTGGATTTGGTTTATTTATTTAAAAGGGAAGTGGAGGATTTGCTCCAGGCTCTCGTCGCTTGTCGCCTATACAAGAGCTTATCGACAGAAGCAGCCGAAGACTATCTTGAAGTAGAAATCTGTGATGAGTTGAGGAAGTACGCTGAGTAAGTGAGGTGCACAAGATCTGCACAAATCAGATTTTTTTAGCTAAAAATTTTTTTCAGAGAGTTCCGAGTACTGTCTTTGGAATTGCTGGAACATTGCTACCATCAGGATGATGCACAGACTCTACAGGTAAGCGGCAAAGTATAAACTATAACGAATAAAATTATGTGATTGTTTAGTTGTTGACATATGAATTGTCGAATTGGGGCTGCCAAACCTGCCTTTCTCTTGCCGTGATGGTCAATAACAAGCAGTTTCTGGCGCATCCGTGGTACGCCGTTTCGCTAGATATGATCCATTTCCTAGTACTTTTGCATTTCTGACATTTGACATCTTTTTAGCTGTCAAATCTTGCTAGCCGACTTATGGCACGGAGGGTTGCGTATCAGGAGGTGAGCTATTTACTCAATGTTAATCATAACTTGTGATTATTTTTGTGGTTCTTCATATTTGTTTTCTCATAGGTTGTTTCCTTCATTTATTGCTGTTTGTTTTCGTTGATTATTTTTAATACAATTACCATGGTCAAGCATGGAGAATGTTGATTATAATTGTAGTTTCCTAACCTTTTCAAGAAACACTCAAAAACAAAATATATAGGTGTCTGTTGCAGGCAAGTCAACTTGACCTAGAACAAGTTTTTTTTTGGTTTTTTGGCAACTCACACATATTTTTAGTCACTCAAATCTCAAAGTGCTTTGTGGCTTATTGTTTCCCATCTCAATCTTCATGCTGGAGTTCAAGACCAGAGAGGAGCTTCTGAATCAGCCACAGGTGAACTATTATTTGCACCCATAAAGTATGATACCGCTACATACAGTACATACGACCTATATATTTCATCCGTTGATGATAGATGATATTTAGACGGCTGCTGAGCATGAGCAGGATCTGAATGAGAGCAGCAGTTCGTCAAGCTCCAGCTCCAGTTCATCCGAAGATTCGAGCTCCAGCTGTTTTGATGATGAAGAGGAGGAAGAAAAGGTAGTTTGCTGTCGTTGTTATTTTCTGCTATCGTACTCCTTTGTTATAGGATATGGATAACAATCAGAAACGAAGCCGGCGTGTTTCCCATGGAAGTGTGCAGTCACTTAATATCACATCTGTAAGTTTCTATAAGGGTATGTTCCGTCTTCTTGATCTCGATTTTTAGCTATTCCATAGTCGGAGACGGAAGAAGATGACAAAAGATGACCGCGAAACGGATGTAAGTGAAACTGGAAAGCCGGATCGTCCTGAATATGGTACGTTCCGAGGTCGGATACCGTGCTATGTAGTCTTGGTGGTTGTTGCCTTGTATATTTAGTGTTACCAGCCCTATTTTCTATCCCATTCAGGATCATCAGTGAATGCTGCCTCCTCTCCGACACCACCACCGTACACCAAAAAGCGAACGCGAGTGCCATCCTATCGTCTCAATGGCGTTATTCCAAAGAATGAAGCACGAAAGAATTCTGCTTTTAGCTCTACAAGTAAGTTCTGGTATATAAGATGTAGATTGCGTTTGAATTGCTTTTTTGTAGATAGCATAAAGAAAACTGGATCGGTGGCGGTGACGAAACAAAGTGATAACCCTTTCAATAATCGTCCGGGTTTTCTTATGACCGTTGGAGCAAATATACCTCGAATGGTAAGCATTTGAGTCATATACGTATACGTACCTATAGAATAAATTTTGAGAAGTTGCAGTGATCGAAGTCATGATTTAGTTAGCTTCACAATTTTTTCAGCGACCAATCAAAATACGTCGACGTTTATATGAATTTTATACGGCACCTATCACTACATTTTGGGCATGGACTATCTCTTTTTGCTTATTTCTCACTGCTTTTACATATGTCCTTCTTGTTCGAACACCAAAAAATCCTACCTGGCTAGAATGGGTTTTATTCGCTTATGTGATTGCCTTTGGAATGGAACATTTTCGGAAGGTAATTTTTTTGAATTTTCTCACTTTTAATTTCATTTTTGCAGATTTTGGGGCACACTTTGCATTTCTAGGTTCTGTGTAGCGTTGGAAGATAATTTTTATTTATTGTTGTTATTTAGTTTCTTATGTCCGAAATGCAACCCATTGGTCAAAAGCTCAAATATTTCTTTTACAACTATTGGAACACTGTCACTGCCATTGCTGTTGTATCTTTCTTGTTTGGGTTTGGGATGCGGGCTTTTGGGTGAGCTTTATACCTTTGAAACTGTTGCATAGGCAAGTATTTTTATTGTTTTTACAGGGTAATAACGACCGGGCGGGTAATTTTGGCATGCAATTCGGTTCTATGGACAATGAAGATGTTAGATTACATGAGTGTCCATCCACGTTTGGGACCCTATATCACTATGGCCGGAAAGATGGTGACTATCTACATTTTTGATTATTTTATTAGATTGTTCGAATGATTTCTAGATCCTAAATATGACCTACATCGTGGTTATGCTGGTAGTATCCCTGTTAGCATTTGGTCTTGCTCGACAGTCCATTACATATCCCAATGAAGACTTTCACTGGCTCTTGGTGGGTACAATTTATTGTCACATTCCAACTTTTAGATTTTTATCTTTTCCCTTTTCTTAGCTGTTTTGCGGATGTTATTTTCTTCTGTATTGTTTTTCACAGCTTTGCAATTTTTTCTTCTCTATGGTATCCTTTTGTAGGTGCGCAACATCTTTTACAAGCCATACTTCATGCTCTATGGAGAAGTATATGCTGATGAAATTGATACTTGCGGAGATGAAGGTAACCAAAGGTTTTGGAGTGATGACCACTGATGCACCTCTTACAGCTTGGGATACCCACCTGGAGCAAGGTGTGCCCATAACGAACAGTACATATGGTGCCACCTGTGTGCCTGGATATTGGATTCCACCAGTGTTGATGACATTCTTCTTGTTGGTTGCAAATATCTTGCTAATGAGCATGCTCATCGCTATATTCAAGTAAGTTCCATTTATTTCTGTTTTTGTATTGTATACATTTTTATCCACTTATATTCTTTTTTCTTTTTTTTTTTTGTTTCACTCTTACCCTGACACAATGCACTGCAGACTTGAATTAGTCATTTTAGTCACATATTTGATCAAACCGATGAGATAGCTCAACAGATTTGGCTTTTCCAGCGGTATCGTCAGGTATGTTTTTGAAACGACAATTTGTTTTTTGGATTTCTAATTGTACATCCAGGTTATGGAATATGAGAGTACTCCATTTATACCACCTCCGTTTACCCCAATTTCGCATGCTATCTTGGTTTTGCGGTATGTGAAGTGGAAACTCTGTACTGCTCGACATGAATTGGATCCGGATGGGAATCGTCAAAAGAAAATGTTTGACTTCAGTCTGAGTAAGTCACAAATTTATTGATTCCTCCTTTCCATAAAAACTCATATATATCAGCTAAAATTTTCGTTTCACTATGGTACTGTACCAAAAAGGCACTTTTAGTTCTTTTTATCATACTTAGAAGCATTCACTGTAACGATGCAAAGATCTTGATCAGAATGAACAAGACTTTTGTTTTACCTCTTATGGAATACGCATCCCCCGTTTGGAGTCCTTTCTCAAGAAAAATACGGAAAAACTAGAAAAATGCAAAAAAACTTTCACTAGAATTGTTTTTTTACAGATGCTTCCCGAATTCTGACTATCCTCAATCCTTGCCTCCTTATAGTGAGAGACTTTTTGCCTAAGGTCTACGAAGTCTAAAATATACGTATATGCAATGATCTAGTGTTTTGCTTCCGCATCCTGAGGTTGGAAACGAGATTAGTGCCTAGTAAATACTGGATATTCAGGCCCTGCAGCATTCGCACAGGTGCATTTTCCGTCGGATAGCGCAAACTAGGAAATAGATTTCTTTCCAGTGCCTTAAATTCATTCATTTGCCGCACAGCAAGATGGGTTAGCCTGTTGCCGAGCGAAATAGTCTCTTGGAATTCTGAGGAATTTCGGAGAAGACTAGCGTCTGTAAACGTTTCGCAAACTTTAAATATTGGTGACTACTAAAGATTGTTAACATCTCCTTGTTCTGCAAGGGTATGTTAGTAATTATTTTGCCAAAATTCGATTGGATCGCCAGTTTTTGCTTGAGCTAATTCCTCTACTATGACAGCAAGATTCTCCCGTTTTGACTGAATTGGTCAATGAAAACACTGGAAATTCGTGGAACTCGCTTCCATGCGCGTTGTGTAGTACTTATTCGCTTGCGTTTGCAGCGAATTTGTGGTCGCCATCGCGTTTGGTGGTCAACGCCCCACGTTATCACCTTGTGTGACTTTTCGCACGCATATACGTGATTGATTCTATCACCGCTATATGCTCAGTTGAGAGATTAAGCCATGCGTGTCGAACGCATTTCCAAAAAGTGGTCATGATGATTTTGAAGGGATTTTGATGATATTCACTGGAGTTTCGCATGATGACTAACAATTTTCACAGTTTACTATCTTTTGAAGGGTTTGGAAAAGTTCCCTTAGCATGGAATAGCCATTCGTGGATATCGAAGATAAGTGAACGCTCTACCTAGAGGTCCCCCTTCTCGTTCGTCCAGGGTCCCTGACGGATTCGTCCGCCCCGGGTTAAGTTGGTCAGCCGAGCCTTGGTAATTTCTGACCTTATAATGCGTTCGGGTAAGGGAAAAGGAACTCGGCGGAGCCCACTCCCTTTTTGGAGAAGGAGAACGACCTGATCAATCCGGCAAGGGACAAGTGATCCAATTCCAATCCCAGTTGTTGTGTTCTTTGTTGTGTTTTTTCTTTCTTTTTTGTCCTGTTTCGGTGCACTCTTGTGTAGTAGATAGACAAATAAATAAATATATATAATTTCTGCAGAGCTCTTTCTGAACGACGATCAGGTAGAAAAATTGCATGATTTCGAGGAAGATTGCATGGATGACTTAGCGAGGGAAAAAGAGCTTCGAAAATGCACCAGCAATGAAGAGAGAATACTGCGAACTGCTGAGAGGTAGTCTATTCTGGCATATCCACTTTACTCAATTTTAGTAAACTCTACGGGTTTTTTCCTTCTCTCATTCGTTATTTTTTCTGTTTCTTTTCCACTCCTTGAAACTTTCGATCATGCATGTAGATATATCAGCACCATTACACTTATACAATGGAGTTTAGGACCGATATGATTCTTAACCGGCTAAACGATATCGCTCTAAAAGAGACAAATACTCGCGAGACGGTTACCGAATTAGATACCAGAATGATGGCTATTGAGAAAACTCAGGTCAGTTCAAGAACCAGTGCCCAGTTATAAAAGCTTTTATGGTTACTAATTGTCGTATGATTACCCTAACTTCACGCGTATAAGGCGCGGCCCAGACAAGCCAAAGGACTTTACAGCCAAAGGACGTTATAACGTGCTGTATATTGCTTGAGAGAATCGTGCGATGTAAAGATTTCTTTTCGGAATACAGTGAACGGCTGAGCGGCTCGCTTGAAAATTGAAAAAGTGCGCCTTGTACGCGTGAAATTAGGGTACATACTTACAATTCGCTTATCTTCCAACATTTCGTTAACTCAGACTGAAATTTTGGAATGCCTTCGAGCTCTCATGTCAACTAATATGCCAGCGTCACCTACGCCCGATGACCGACCATATGAGGCAAGCTTTCCGAAGCGGACATAGTGCACACCCTAAGATTTTCTTTTAGCACTCCCAATCTGTGCTTGTGGTATCTGACGCTGGCTCTGCAGCTGAAGGTCTCGCTCCGCTGCCGATATCCCGACGAAAGCGTATGAATACCGTATCTGGTACCGGTATGTTTGATCGGACTTTACCTTGGTCAGTGGACATCGAGTGGCATTAGCATTTACAGGCCCGCATGGTTCCACCGACGATCCCAATCTGCTATCCCCTCGCCCGTACGAGCGAAAATGTGGCAGTATGTTATCACTTGATCCTCCGTTACCTTCTCCCATGAAGATAGGGTTCGTTCACTTTTTTACTCTAAGCTGGATTTTTTTTTACAATTTTTGTCTTTCTTAGAAGTGTGAGACGGCGGCACGAAGAATATACAACCATTACTGACTCCATTTCCATTCATAAGGAGGGTAGAAATTTGCGACAGGGACGATCGCTTTCTACGGAACATCCTGTTAGAATTTTTTATCCTGTGGATTTATCTTTTCTGAATATTTGCGAATTATAGGAGAGTGACCATAGTGATGGTGAAGGAGGATCACACGATGAACGGGAAAGCTCAACCCGTCCGAAGAGATCTACAGCAGATAAAAGAGCTGATGAGGTAAAGATTCAGGGATTTAGTGTAATTTCTGAACTCGGTTATGTTTTTTGCTTGTTTTTTAAAAAGGAGAAGCATATAATCTGAGGTAAGGTAGCACTCATAGAAGAGAAAATATGCATGTGATACAGAATTTGCTTCTGCTGCATCCTGTCTAATGAGTCGTGCAAATGCACCATGCGCACAGCGCGCGATTTTGATTGATCTGATCATAATCATTGTAAAAGCTCATGATACCGCTTGCAGACCGACCACTCACGACTGCTAGAAGAGGAGGAACTAGCAGATTGCGAATTGACTGATATTCCTTCTGATGTCGATGATGTTGCGGTGAATCTCACCGAGGAAGAGCCAGACCTTCACACCAGCCTTGATGACTCTAAGGTAGGAACCCATCTTTTTGACTTTTACTTGAGAAAAAAACTGAAAAAAAGAGGAATAAACTGTTTTGTTTTTCTACTTTTAGATTGATACTTATAAAATATATGTACGCATATTTCACTAAAATAGTCAGATTTTGTGGCGATTATGTTACCAACAGAGAAAATTCGATTTAGCATTATTCTTTTTTTTTGTTCTCTCTGAATCGGTTAAGGTTAGAAACGCAGTTTGCGAAGAAAGGGAGCATTATAAAGATAAATAAATAGTGCTGCTAAAATAGAATTGGTGGATTCAACGAGGAAAATTTATTGCCCACTGAGTAGATTTTTCGCTTAAGTTAGAGTGTAGTGTGCTTGCGGTGCCTAGATGGTGCTGTAAAAATTGCGCGTGAACAAATAGCTACGCCTTTAGTGCCGGCCACTGGTGCGCGCGAATTTACCGCATCATCTCGGTAGCGCAAGGACACTACACATTATTCCTAGCTGCTCTACTCAACTGTAGATAGCTGGAGTTTTTTTTTGTTCGCGCATGAATATTCATAAGCTAACAATGAGTTGTGTACTGAACAAACAGGGATTAGAATTTTTTTCTATTTTATCAATCACATTTTTGTTAGACTTTAGCTATCGTGATATTCTTCAGGGTATTGTATTCTCAGTGGTGAACGAGCAAGAGTCTCCTCATCCATCCTCCCCTCAACGAGTGCAGAGCCCTATGTCATCAAGCGCATAATTAACTTCACCTCTTTGTTGACCCCTTTCTTGTATCTTTCATAGCCCTTATCTATCTCTGAGACTGATGCTTTTGTCCTCTGTTTTACGTGGTTTTATCGTTTCCGAGTCCCAGCGTTCCCACTAGTTTCTAGTCGTCAAGCAGGGCCACTGGTTGGCTCGTGTTCTATGGTATTTCTCTACGGGATCACACACTATAATAGGATTTCTATATCTTGTTTGTATATGTATTGAGTTGTTTTTAATATTCGCTCTAATGTTGTTTTCTATTCTACTGTCACAAGTGCAATGCCTTCAGGACGTGCTTTATGAAAGCATATCAATTCGATATAGCGTGAGCCTTAAATAGGCGTGTCTTCTGACGTTGTTTATGTTGTTTCTTTATATCTTTCAAAATAAATCTGAGCTTTCTCCGCTTTGTTGGAAGTGCATAACATTGAAAGTGTTTGGACAAATGTGGGTGCTCGGCTTTATTCGTGAAAACTGTTTCGTAGCTGACACGGGTAATCCAAGGCGCAGAACGTAATCTTCCCAACCTTGTATACGGTAAGGAGACGGTGTGGGCTTGAATTCAATCGAATTTTTCAGCCAGTTGGAGACCCTGGCCTAGCCATTGCTTAAACATCAGCTTTTGTTCGTGGCTGAAAGATTCAATTTCGAACTTCTGACCACACCGTATTACCTGCCGTACTCTCAGGGTGGAAGAGTACGGTCTGGGTTCTGTAATATCCTTGTGGGTTACCGCTTGAGCAGTGGCTAGTTAAGATCTACCAGTGAGCTTCTACGTTCGAGAAGCCCGCAAATGTGGATTCTCTTGAAAAAGAAAAAAGAGGCAATGTTTTATAGAATTTTCCCCTTAAGTTTGGATATATCGCAAAGATCCCAGCAAATGACTACCAGACTTCAGTGATGAGGCGGGATTTTGTGCTAGAAAGCTTGCGTGGAATAGACGATGAGGATTTTTCCAGAAAAAACGTCATTATCGTGCTTCTTTCAGCAATATTTTCTGCAGCTTACTAATCTATTCATGTAATAGAAGACATCTGCATGAGAGTTGCCCTTTGAGTTTGACTACTTTTGTTCATAAAACTTAAATTTAATTTCCATTAGTCTATGAAAATGCTTTTTAGATAGTAAATACGATCGCAATTGAGAACACTTAGAATAACCAATAAACATGTGAAATGAAAAAGAAGTCGCATTAAATCAAATTAATCCATTTATCCCTGTAACCGAAATTCTAAAGAAAAGTAATACCCATCCTCCATAAATGTTTACTCATGACAACCTCCTATCTTCTGTTTGTCGTCAACGTTGTATTTTGTAAAATGTCACGTCAAAAATCTCAAGATTCCGTGTTTACGTAGTTTCCATGATTTGATAGCAATGTGCGAGACAGACGATTTTGGAAGTTGTGAACAGTGCCGATTGTTCGATATTCAAGAAAATTTCTGAGGGTTAGCTGTTAAGAGCTTATAAAGGCTTTGACCGACCAACTGCATTAAAGTATCTGCCAGATTGGAGTGGTTTTTGAACAGCTAAAATGAAAGCAAATTAGATGGGATACTGTAACTGGTAGCCGACATCATAGATCACAGTTGGATGGGCGGATGTATACATAAGAATAAACATCGATACGAGTTCCAGGAGATTATAGTATGAGGCGAAGGCAAAGATACAGAGAACGGGTTGCTTACTAAAGTGAATTTGTTTGTAAATATTTGGTAGGCAAAAAATACTTCGTATTTTCACGCAAACCTCCGCAAAAGATTTTGTTGATGTTTTTCATCCGTAATTTTCTGAGGAGAAGTTGTTCAAATCCCTTCTATCACATATCAACTACTTAGAGTCTTCCTCACCATCAGTGAAGGACAAGCTAACCAATATGAAAACCAAAACCTCAGTTTCTTTAACTTTCTAAGCTTCTTTTCATGCTGCGATGGATATGGGGATGAATAATTTGGTGTTTGGATACATCCACGTTCTCTATATATAGCAAATAACTCTAGATTTGGTCTCCCATTTGGGTCCATTGAAAAAAGGAAGTTTTCTCACATTTGCGCACAATGAGAAAATTTCTCGCTTCTTTGCGTCTTGTATTCTTAAAGGGAACAAACTCTATTTGAACGGTAGTTATCTCTATATATATAAAGCAGAAAATTTGTATGTTTGTGCACATTGTGCAGGGTGTGCAGGGTGTGCAGGGTGTTCACGGTGAGCAGGGTGTGCAGGGTGTTCAAGGTGTGCAGGGTGTGCAGGGTGTGCAGGGTGTTCAAGGTGTGCAGGGGCAGGGTGCGCAGGGTGTGCAGGGCGTGCAGGGTGTACAGGGTGTTCACGGTGTGCAGGGTGTGCAGGGTGTGCAGGCTGTGCAGGGTGTGCAGGTTGTGCAGGTTGCGCAGGGTGTGCAGGTTGTGCAGGTTGTGCAGGGTGTGCAGGGTATGTGTGTGTCCGTCTGTTACGAAATTCGTAGAGCGTGTTCCATCCAGCGTTCTAAGCCCTAATTTTGCATAGCGTTTTTGAGGGGGGGGGGTCGACATTGAAGTGTGCCGGGCGGAGCCGGCATAGCCGGCTAGTATTAATATAATCCAATTCTTATCAAAGTGTTCAATTTAAGGAATACTGAACAAAAATTCGTCTGCAGCTTCTGTAGGAATCGCAAAAGCAACCGAGACTTTTTATTGGCCAACCTGATAAATAATTCGTTCCTATGTTTTCCCTAAAATTTGCTATTCAAAATTTTTTTTCATGTATACATGACACCTTTTTTGCCAGATCATACCTTTTTTGTACCCTGATCCTGCGTCGCATGTTTCGCTTGTTTGAAGTTAGCGCAAAATTACTGCATTTTTGCTAAGTTTCAATAAATATTTTACAATTCAGCGCATGTTCGGGTGCAGCACATGACAGTGAAAAAGCAGATACTGGTATAACATTTTTTTGAAACATTTTCTGACAAATCATTATTTTCCTTACACCATGTGGTGAATGTTTTTCGTAACAGCAATCCTGTTGCACAACGCGCACAATTTTAGTTGGAATACATCTTGGAAAAAGCAGCAAATACCATAGTTATCAATTTTTTCTGAACCTTTTTTTAAGCAAGTGTTTTAATAATCCTAGCTACGATGTCTTCTAGATTTTACTGTAATTAATTTGTTTTCCTTCTCTAATTCTCTCAGCCATATCTTGGCCGCAATCCATTCATTTTTGGCAAACATTGAATGTTTCGAAGAGAAGTCAACTTTTGTCTGAATGGAGTCTCGGTTTTCTGTTTTGCGTTTCCTTGTGCAAAAATTAGATAGATAGAGTAAATGCCTAATCTAGTTCCAAATCGTAATAAAAAGGGTCAGAATGTATAGCTTGAAAAAAAAATTAGCTTCACAGAAAAAAATCTGCATAATGTTTTTTTTAACTTTTCGAAATGCATGCACCACTTCCGCACCAACGTAACATTTGAATTTATTTTTTTCCCTAATTTTGCACACATTCTATAGCGACTATGCGACGCTATACAGTAGATGTAGCTGAAAATTCACTGGAACACATAATAAAAATGTCAAATTTTCTCATTCATAGGAGGCTAAATTTTCACATTTTGCTCCAGCTATCTTATGTCTAAGGTTAGAAAAATATAGGCCACCCCCAGCACAATGCCATTTCACTTTTCTGTGTGCTTTTAAACCATATATAGTCATTTCGATAATTTATAAATGGGACATAATATTTAGATTCGAAAGTTGTGACAGAATGCGTAGTACATACTGAGCTGAAAAAAACGTGCGTGGGTAGATCGAATTTGAGAGTTAGTGGCATGTTATGCCTGGCATGTGATAGCTACGTAAGTCATTTCATATCTCTCTTCCAGTATTTGTGAGTTCAGAGGAGTGTAATCCACAATTTGCTGTTTATAAACCATGCATTTTTATTAGGTTTTATTTAATTATTTATCTAAATATGCACTATAAGTGCGCCAAAAGAAATAGGTTGACAGAACTGTTGACAGGTTGACAGATTGTTTCACTTTTGTAACTATAAAAAGTTGCAGAAGCTTCTGAGCTCAAATCGGCTTCATACTCCGGGAAACAAGCGTACGCATTGCATAAGAATCCGTGAATGCACATGTAGCAAGCTTACGACAGTTTCGTAACATCCCCATTGAACTTTTTCGCTGTCTCTTCTTGCGCTTTACCTCTTGTCAAATTTTTCAAATGCTATCGCCACTGCCATTCTTATAATGGCAAATAAATTGCTATCTTTCATTTAGAATGCTCTATTGGTTGAAATGCCAATAAGATGTGTGTGGATGTAGAATTTGTATATTATTCTAATTACTGAAACTAATGATTTCTCGCCATTTTAAGCCGACATATTGAAAATTAGATTTTTTACGTTTCCGGCTAGATTATGAACTTTGCTCACTATTAATGCAAATCATAGTCTATATAACCAAACCGCAGATAGTGCATGTAGAGTTTATCAAATTTCTTTCATACTTGCTTGGCACGCTCTCAGAATTAACGACCGCGTGTCATGTTTTTGTGAATTCTGAAAAACACATCATCGTGGTTTTCTCCACCCATTTCTTCGCCATCTTCAATCAAGTACTATGATCTAACATAGTTAAAAGCCTTCTTGTCTGGTAAAGACACAAGCTATGATTTCTTTTTTTTCAAATGCTTACCTGCCAGAAAAAACATTTCTTACTTATAGATAGAGCTCTTCCAAGATGCTTTCAGACTTGTTGTTGCTTGAAAGTGATGTGATTAGTGGCTCGAAACTAATCCGCAGTGAACTCCATTGGACTTCTCTGCTGGTAATGAAGGGTTCTCTGGAATTTGCACTTGAGCCAAAAAATTGAGCGCACTTAATTGCCTGTGTCTTTCCTTGATCCTCACAGTTTTCCAACGACAATTAGAATTTCTACACGGGGAATTCTCATTTGATATGGCGACTATTCGAGAACGTTAATGAATTTCTGTAAAGATGTGATACAGTGGGAGAATGCCTGAGTCATTGTTTATCAAACTGTCAGCAGATTATTTTCTCAAAGCTGGGTTCAATCCCCATGTATGTTATTCGGAACTCTAGTTAGTTCTGCTATGCATATGTTGAGCCATAGGCCATGCATTCGCCAACAATTCACACTCCTTCTATGCATTAAAAAAACCTAAAAGTCGTGAGGCCTCGGACGGAGTTCACGCGATTCGTCGCGATTCAATCGCTACAGACAAGTATTACAAGTTCATTGCATGCCGATCTTCTTGTATCTGTTGTGATAGTTAATCACGACTAGTCGCGTTGGAAAACTATCACAATCGAAATGCAAGAAGATCGACATGCAATGAACTCTAACACTTGTCTGTAACGATTAAATCACGACGATCAAATCACTCGAACTCTCTCCGAGGCCTAAGGAAGTTCACAAGTTAACAATAAATGCATTCTTAAGTGTTCATCAAAAGAACTTACTCATTTTGACTCTCAGCATTTGGAGTGGATATTTACAGATATTGGCCCGTAGTAAAGCTGCCTCATTCGATCTCAACTGAGGAAACCTTTAGTTGAGGCTTTGACGAGTCATCTGTGCTCATTTAAGTCACTGATTGATGATTCCAATCATCCACATTAATATGATTGAGTACGCCATGTTCATGCAAGTGTATAAGTCAAAATCCGTTCGCCAAACATTCACATTTTCGTATTGGTACCAGCGGAGAGGATGCGGCCGCACTTATTAGATCTCGTCGAAGACTTTCAGCCTGTACTGTGGCTCCTCACTCAGTATGTTCGACATATTGAACTAACGTGTATTTCTCTCTAAATCTCCTCATTAGCACCCTATTTTGGGAGATCGTTGCTCGGATCATCTCCGATGACTCGGCAGGGAGATCATTTCCCTGCCGAACCTGATTCGAGGCTCACATGTCAGGTGACGTTGCATTCTTATAGCGTGGGGAAGTGGGCGATCGTCATTTCATTTGAGGAAACCTCACGTAAGGGCCTCAGAGGAGATCATCTCTCCTGACTGAGCTCTACTACAAGCCTTGGGTCATAACATAGTATTGGGTCTCATGATATGAGGTCTTCGTCTTCCGCTAGAAGTCTAGAAGTTCGTATTTGGCTGATAAGGAAAGGACTGTCCAATGGGATCAATTTCGCCCTTGCGAACATAAATAGATATAAAGGCGCAATCATGTAACACTTCCAACCTCTATTCTCCATCGTTAATTCCGCTTTTTTCCCATCTTTTTCAATTTTATTTGTATTCCAAGAGCATCACTGTTATTATGTCTTCTATAATCCATGCTAGAAATATGCCAAAATTAATTATGGGATAGAGAGAATAATATTCAAAGCTGCAACTCTTCACATAATTCGAAAGCAATTTTCTGAGAAAATCGGAAGTTATCTTCGCCAAGTGTAACAAAACTTTCTCCAGACTTAATGGTCACCATTTATAATTTCACTCCAGTAAGTGATACGTTTGTCAGACCTGAGTCAATCTCTGCTTCTAGGGAATCGCGGTATAAGAGCATCCGGAATGAGACGAACGATGATTCCCTAAGCACGTGATGCCGTTGAGTAGTCGCTGCTAATGCTCTCGGAATTGGTGTGTTCCAACTAGCTTTCACTGGTTAACCATTCTCTCGATGTGCATAATGTGATTGCTCGATCATACATCTTCTTGCTTTTCTGTGGTTTTTCAGTCACACCTACTTTTTGATCTCAACGCTCACTTTCAATGCTCAAACTGTTCAATAAATCAATTTCCTTATCCAGATGCCAATTTATCTTTTTACTTGGGTGTCATTTCGATAGAGAAATGCAGACTGACTATAAGGCTCTATGATACGGCAGTTAGATATCGACATAAATCGTCATTTACATGAAGTCTGAATCCAAAAAAGAAATAGAAATAGGTCTAGCAAAGTCCGATCTCTTACTCTCATTTTTCAAAGAACTTTTTCCTATCCATTTTGTTTTCAAACAAGTTTCGCATAGTATGCAGGGCTTTTTCTCATATGCTTTATAATGATCTTTCGAACAGCTTTTGCGTCTCCTTAGATTTCAAAGAATTTTGAATATCCGCTCGCCGAATTCTTTATTGCAACCACTTTGTTGGCCAGAAACTGACGCAGATGATCGCATTATTTTGGAAACAAGCCACTACATGTAATGTGTCTACTCTTTGCACATATGAATTTGGATTATCGATCTTGACTTAGAAATCAACTCCCAAAGTGCGGAATCGCTGCTGGCTTGAAGATTTCAATGGTCCGAAAATTTTTTAAAGAACAACTACCTAAATTTTGTCCAGTTTTGTAAGCGTGATAGTAGGACGACATAGTAGGATATATTGTTAGATAACATTTGCAAGGCTTAGCGGTTTGCCCGAATGATCAAAAATTTTCTTTGGGTCCGGGCCGCCTATCTTATATATAAAGCTGAATGTGTGTATGTCTGTCTGTATGCCTGTACGTATGTGCGGAATAGAAATTTTTATTTCTGAACCGATCTGGACCAAACTTGGCACACGTATACTTCGGGGCGGGGAGCGTGTCATAGACTACTTTTCGTTATCGATCGATATCGATTTTATCGATTTTTTGCAAAATTTGAGCTACGGGGCTGGGAGTTGGCACAGGGGGGTAATCGAGCACGCTGATACTATGTTATTGACAGGGCCCGGCGGAGCCGGGTTTGCCAACTAGTTTAATCTAATGATGCACCCAAGGATATAGTGTTATGACAAAGATATAGCTACTAACATTAACTTTTACCCTACCTAATGACTGTGCCATTCAGATCTCCACTCCTTAGTATCCTATTATTCTACTTGACACCAAACATAAATAAGTACGTCAATAAAAAAATAAATTTGACAAGATCCATTCAACTGGACAGAATTCGCGGGACAGCAAAAAAATATATGAATTTCAATACCTTTGTGTGTTTAGGCCTTTCTGCCTAATTTTCTCGTATTTTCCACTTTTCTCAATCATAAATCGACAATGTTATGAGATACTTCAGATATGGCTAAAGTCAAACCATGCGAAGTCGAATGCAATCCATCAACTTCTGGAAGTCGTGTCGGCTACCTGATAACGATGGCTGCGAAGGTAAGCGGAGCTAAATATTATATTATGAATAAGCCAATCAAGCAAACTTAAGTTTTTGACGGCTCCAAAATACCCAAAATTTGCTCTGCTTACGAATAATCAATCACTAATTGAACAATAGAAATACGATTCAGGTATTTGGCATTGTGTCAAAACGATTCGAGCGAAGTCCATCATTGCCATCGACTGAGGGAAGCTTAGAAATTGGTGATAGAGGAGTTAATCTTCCAGATGTGAGTGATTGCCTTGGCTTACAGAATTTTTCGCATCTCATGAACCATAAGCGATTGTTTGGCCAGCAAATACTGCATTATGTACAATTTATATGGCTTATCAAAAGCTGAACTAACCGCTTTCAAAAAAGTCTCTAAACCGTTTGACTTTTGAGGTCTCGATTTTGAATGTTCATACGTAGATCAGACCTCCATGATGCTCGTTCTTATAACCTAGCAATTTTTTTAAAGTTAAAACTCTTGTTCTTGGACCTATACTTGTAATCAAATGGTTCGTTCAGCAGTCATTGCGAAGTTGTTGACTGATAACTAGATTCGAAGTATTTTTCACTATCCCTGCTGAACCTGAAAGTGAAAGTTTTTATAATGTATATTTTAATCGAGTCTGTAAGCCACGTAAACATGTCAATTTCGATCTCCGTTTACACATAAGTTACTCTCTATACAAAATATTGAGAGGTGAAAATGACACGACGTCAAAATGACGCTTTCTCAAAAAAAAAACCTGTAAAAATTTATTACAAAGAGAAAGTCCGTACATTATTTAGGCATGCTTCAATCTCGTATGGAGATGCAAAAACAGAAAATTTCTGAAGATTGCCTTTACAGGATAAATCCCCTTATCGCTACAGTTTTTTTCGCGAGACACAGTTCGGTTACAGTCATGGACATAGTGCATAATTAGAACGTAGTGACGTTTGGACTTTTCAAGTCTTACTTGAATTTTGGTGAAGAAAATAAGAATTCTGGAGTGGCCTAATAAACCATGAAGTAAGATCGGAATTGGCGCCATGATTTCGCTTGATAGATTGTTGAGGTCAAATTTTTAGGAAATACGAAAGATCAAACTCGATGTTAGGAACAAAATTGCGTAAAGGTCGTTTTTACTATTTTTAATAGTTTTTGCAAATATTTATAAATAGGAAAAGTATGGTGGTCTCCAGCCATCTGCTCTGTGCATGCACAGAACTGTAATATTATCTTTTTGTATATATTAGGTCGTTCCGAAAGTAATGTCGCTTTTTTCGAATGAACGCCACTTTTCGTAGAATCAACATATTCAAGAGATCTCAGAAGCATTCGATGCAGCATTTCATCCTCTTTCTAATGGTTTAAAATTCACTGCATAATGTTTAGTAAGTTCTCGAAAAATTACCGAAATCTGCGACTCATGCTTTTTGCCATGGTCAAGTTCGGCTATTTTTCTAAATTTTTGTACCTAACCTCCGAAAAAGTACAAGTGGCAAGTAGATAGAGCAAACACTGTAGAACACAGAGTAATTATTTCTTTACCTTAGCTTGCTTCTCAGAGTTTCTACAATCAATTTCTCAATACCATCAAATTCCATATTTAGTCAAGTTAAACCTCACAGAACAATAACCGGCAAGCGACTCGGGTGTCATTCGATGCAGCTTTTTCTCCTCTTTCCAGCGGTCGTTTTTTCTTTCCGAATCATCAAGTTTTCCGGGATAAAATCATCATAATTTAACTTTTCCAAGGCACCCCAATGTGTACCCGAAATTTTCGAAAGTTGCTAAACCGAAGCGGTGAATGCCCCTTTGGTTTGTAAAATTGTTGCCAAATCATAATCCATCTTTGTAACTTCCAGAATCCGGAGACTTGTTGGCGTTTGATGCACTTGTGTCTGAGACGAAACTACTAAAATTCGGTGGTTCCATCAAAAAATCTGTACAAAAATTATGACGAGCTCTGGAAAGTAGAAAAAAGTTGTGCTGTTTCCTGTAGGGTTTGCTCCATCCATCCATTATTTGGACACCTTCTGAGGTTTGTTATAAAATTTTAGAAAAATTGTGAAACTTGACCATCTCAAAAAGCATAGGTCGCAGATTTTGACTATTTTCTGGAAGCTCATTAAATGTATTGCAACAACTTCATAACCATTAGAAAGAGAATGAAATGCTGCATCAAATGCTACCAGAATCTCTTACATATCTTTGTCCAACGAGATGTGGCATACGTTTGAAAAAAGCGACATTGCTTTCGGAACGACCTAATATGTACAGACAGAAGTTCCTGAAAGTAAGAGAGATTTTTGAAAAACCTTTTAAGAAGCTCTTCGCTGAAACAAAATTACTAAGAGCTGTTTGTCGTTTTGACCGCGCATTAAACTCCTCTCATGTAGCTTCTCTACTTTGAAGCCTGCACAATTTCATGACTTTATCTCAGTCTTACAGATGCCCGTTTATCAACAATCAACAACGAGAAAATTGGCTTTCGGCTCCACGTTGGACTCGGATGCTTCAAAACCTCAGAAAGACTTCTATAACAACAATACGTTAGTAAATCTCAGCAAACTCTTCTGCGGAATCGTTTTACTCACTGCTTTTCTGCTCGTGATGAGTAGAAGTTTCGGCCATCTGCTAACAGAACAGAGAAATTCGACTTCGGACGCAACCTCATATTCTTTCCAATGATTTTCTTCTTATTTTCATCAAATTGTCTCAGTGAATCTGGTCTTACATGCTAATTTTGCTTTTGCCTCCTATGTCTGTTGAAGGGTTGAATGATCTGCGATAATATCCCCCATATTTGTTGAAATATAAACCGTAGTTACTTTTATTTGTAGATACTAGACTTTTGCCCTTTTGCCTTTCTTGGTTTTTCATTAAATCACTACTACGCGACTTGCCATTCTAATAAATGACATCATGCTTGAGTTTACCTATGTTTTTCAGCAACGTGAAACTAAGAACTTTCAAGCTACCCATTCCTGTTGTTTCATGAATAAAGTAGGTGATACATTACTGATTGGATAGATTGGATACTTATAGTAGGATAACTTCTCTGCGAATAATAATGTAATACGCGGTTTTGTTGACGTTGAAAAGAATGAGAATTAAATAAAGAAACTAACATAATGATATAATATACATCTTTTCTCAAAAATTGCCACTTTATGCAAGTTCACAAGTTTATGCTAGCTTAGTATGCTCTACCAAGGACAGCACTTCCTTCCCCAATGCTGAAATTTGCCACAAGAGAAAAACTTCGCATTTTAAAACTATTGTAGAGTACATTTCCGTTCTAGCTGCGTGTATGACCGATAGTAAATGAAACTCTACAAACTGAGTCTCTTGTCTTGTCGACAATCATCAATATCAGGCTATGTAAGCGCCCCCTTTGATAATATTCACTCTTCGCTCCCGTCGCAATAAACTTTTATATTCCTTGAGTAAACCGAAATATGGAAACAACAACTGGAGAACAGAGAACAGATGGCGTGGAAGAAGACCACCTGAACCAGCTAGTCGGTCCAGAATCGTTCGCGGAAAATAACAACCACTCGACTGCCTTGTTGGAGCAGATTTGCAAGCAACTAATGGAACAAAACTCTGCTCTTGTGAAGACCAAGAATGCTACAACGATTGTAACACGCTCGTCACGAATACAATGCTTCAGCTACAATCCCGAGGAAAGCTGCACTTACGAAGACTGCTGCTGAGATTCAAAAAGATTGTTTCCGCATCAATACCAAAAAATGGCGGCTGCGCTCTTTTTATGTATCTTGAAAGCGCCCTAAGGCAAAGGAAGAATATCCAGCGCCCGCTGAACAATTTGCAAAAATGCAAGGATGTTTGGAATTTTTCCGCTCACAGATGTGCAAAATTTCCGTGAACGTCGAGGAATTCCGGGAACTCCACGAAAGTCTGCGACATTTCCGGGATTCCACGCCATTCCAGGAATTCCGCGGACGGGAATCACGCAAACTACGCAGCGCCATAACTTCCTTCGGAATGAATATATTCTGAATCAAATAAAGCATTGTGCTCAGCTCATCAGGGTGAATTTTTCGATATACGGCTTGTCTTTGATATGCCGATTTCACTATTTTTGGATCTTTCTGCGACATTTATTGGGTGTAAAGCAGCGCTTTGCCTTTGGTAGACAATACAGGTACGAATGGAGGCGGGATGCAGGCGAAATTACGAGCTTTCGTGCCTCTGTTACATTACCTCACCTCTCTGCAAAAAGACCGTGTACTTGACAGAGAACATAAATTTTATGAACAGCATGTTTGAAAACCCCTCTATGAGCGGAGTTTCTTTCAAACCAAGATCATTAACATTTTGACAAAACGCACTGGCGAGCTTCTTCAGAGCGTGAAACAAAAAAAAAATCAAATAACCCAAAATTTCTGAGAACTTGCTCCTAAGAGTTATCTGATCTGCTGATTACGAAACTCATATCTGCTTAGCACGATAGCTTCGTATGCTAGGATTATGACGAGTACAATTTGAAACAACAATTTTTACACAACTCACCAGCCCTTCTATTTCCTTTGAAAAGAAACCTGCGGCTACTATTTAGCACATCATAATCTACTAGAAAAGTACTATCGAAAGATCCTTGCTGGAATGTACTCGACACAATGCTCTGCTTTACACTTTCGCGAAAAGACGTCCTCAGAAAGATTCAAGAGTACTGAAATCGAAATGTCAAGGACACGCTGTACATAGGAAGATTCGCCTTAATGAGCTGAGCAAGGCGCTGCTTTCGGATTCAAAATATGCTTATTCCGAAGGAAGTTATGGCGAGTAGAATTCAAAAACGCGTGATTTTTCCAAAATTCACCAACGCTTCTATCTCCTTTGGAAAGAAGTCTGAGCCCATTTTTAGCGCACAATAATCTACAAGAACAGTATTATCGAATAGTACTCAGTAAAGTTTTCTATGTTGGGAGGCGTTGCTTCACATATTCGCGAAAGGACCTCCGCAGAACAAATTGAAAAAACTGGAAACGGAATATCGAAGACATCGTGCTCCCACTTCCAATATATCAGAAGATTCTCCGCGCCGAGCTGAATCGAATGGTGATGGAATCAGAATTCGTCTACTCTGAAGCGAGATATGGCCACGCGACGCTGATGTATGAACATGTCCATACATGTATGGACATGTATGGACATGTACGGACATGTCCATACATGTTCATACATTCGCGTCTATTTTTCAAAAAATGTGAGCGGTATTGTATGTTGAAAAAAGCAAGAAAAGCGCTTTCTGATACAAACAGTATTGCGTTAGAGGTAAGATTTTCTTAGAACAGCTGCTTCAAACATAAGGCAACAAATTCGGGCAGAACTTATGCATCATTGACTCATCCATATTTCATTGACTTTCTTGTTTTTTCAGATAATCACCATGAAAACATGTTTGATTGCCAGTAAGAACTCAATTTTGGAAGTTCGCTACAATCAGACGTGTACAGACTTAATGCGAACGTTGAATAAACACTCACAACAACACTTTGTCATCCTTATAATAATTTTAGAATGTTTGACTGGCAAAAGACTTGAAGAAGGTCGGTGAAATATTTAAAGGTTGAATAGGGCGACACTGGTATTCAGAAGTGCTTGTTCTAATCAAGTTAGCCCTTATAGGCTAAGTTTTCTTACTAATTCTGGGTAGAAAAGTTTTTCTTCGACTACTACTTTTCAAAGCTTTGAGATGACACCGAACCTTCAACCTTCAGGAAGGATGAACCGAGAGAAAAGATATCTGTAAACTCATTTGAAATCGCTTTCGAATTCGATTATCCAATCCATGGAGGTGAAGAGCACATATTACAGCTGTTTGCACAGTACTTTTGTACGACTTGCAGTTTATAATCTTGGATTATATATCATTTTCAAGAAATGCGAAAAATTTGTTCCACCCCCGGCAGCACGCTGGTTTATGAGCCCGGGAATGGAAAGCAATAAATCAAAATTTAATATCAAATGACGAGCGCAAGGTCCAAAAAGGAAAAATGCTAAAATGTTTCTGTCACATTTCTTCAAAAACTTGACAGAAGCATTTTAGCACACTCTCTTGGAGGTATCAGCTGTGAACAAATCAGAATTGTCATCCTAGGCATTACAGGGACTAGATAAACGCCATCTTCTTAGAAGGAGCTGAAAAAGTGGTTTTATGCAATGAAATCCAATACTGCCTAAAGGGAATGGTGCTAAACTTGTGGCATGAATCCATTTTCGCTAACTTTTTGATTCCTTGAGCTTTCAAGAGAAATGTAATCGATGCTCTCACTAATCAAATCTTTTGATTATTTTTTACAGCTCAATTAGCTAAGTCCACTTAGAACATAATGCTAGTTTCTGCGGAAGAACAACAGGAGAGCTACTTATTATGATGATTACAAGTGAGCTCATAACTCGGGTGGAAAAAACGGGGTGCGGCGTATTATCCGCGGCGCAACCGTCGGAAGGTCATAACTCCGTTCAAAATCATTTTTACAGGTTTATCTGCTCATTTTTGGATAGCTACTGACACAAGGAATCAGAAAAATATAAAATTTTCCAAAATCGTATGTTTTCAAGAGAATCAGCACTATCGCGACGGAATTGCCAAAGACAAAACCGTCGCATGGTCGTAACTCGATTTAAAATAGGAATTTAGGATTTCTGGCTGTATTTTTGAAATGACGACATCATAGTGGTTGGAAAAACATAACAATTTTTGAAAATACACTTTTTTGGAAGATTTTAGCAGATTTGCGATAAAAAAATCGCGACGAAACCATCGCAATCGCATAACAACTTGGAAAAATAATTTTTTTGACTTTTTGTTCTAGTTTAACTTTTCTGACGTTGCGACGATTTCCAGCATAAAAGATTTTTGAGAAAATCTTATCCTCCATGGGTTTTGTGAAGCTGCGACGGAATAATCGTGACGAAACCGTCGCATTGCGTTTGCGGTCCTGAAAGTGATCTTTTTTTTATTCTAACTTCAATATCAGAATCCACGATATTCGCTGACTCCATCAACTTGTGTTTACAACAAACTTTTTACAACGATTTTGTTTACAACGATTTTTCTATCGCAAATCTGCTAGAATCTTCCAAAAAAGTGTATTTTCAAAAATTGTTATGTCTTTCCAACCACTATGATGTCGTCATTTCAAAAATGCAGCCAGAAATCCGAAATTCCTATTTTAAATCGAGTTACGACCATGCGACGGTTTTGTCTTTGGCAATTCCGTCGCGATAGTGCTGATTCTCTTGAGAACATGCGATTTTGGAAAATTTTATATTTTTCTGATTCCTTGTGTCAGTAGCTTTCCAAAAATGAGCAGAAAAACCTGTAAAAATGATTTTGAACGGAGTTATGACCTTCCGACGGTTGCGCCGCGGATAATACGCCGCACCCCGTTTTTTCCACCCGAGTTATGAGCTCAGTTGTAGGAATAGATTTCCATAAATGTGAATGTATACTAGTCCTAGCATGCACTACCGCCATTATTCAATCGACAAGAGTAACAACCAAATCTAAAACGCATCATGGAGGAGAGCAAAATGCTCTAAATGAGATTTATAGTCAGCCAGGTAACATTAGGACAGAAGAATTTGAGAAAACTGGAAACGAAATATCGAGGGCATGCTGTATATTATAAAATTTGCGTTGATGAGCTGAGCACAATGCTGCTTACGGAATCAAAATATAATTATTCCGAAGAAAGTTATGGC